GCAAACTAATGAATGAGGACAGAGAACTGAACGGTTTTATGTCACAGTGACCCCCCCCTCCCCCCTTCCACCCCACCCCGGCTATCAGATTTTTGAAAAGGATTTTCATAAGAATCAATGTAAACATGAAGCAAATATAGGTTTCCAGCTATTTTGAGCGCTTTTTTTTTGTACTCGTATGGTTGAGATTACACGCTCGCTCGAAGTCATCTGGAACTGTATAGAAAGGTCTCTCAACTCTTAGATTTTTTTTGACAGAAATTTGCATACTCTTTATTCAGACCTAAGCTATTGTTAAATGTTATCCTCTCTGCTGTTTTGTGTTCAGGACTTTCGATACTTACATTCCAATACATTATTGTGGATATTTATGGTAAACGAATTAAATTGGACCACTAGAAAGTGGATTGATTGAAAAAACTGGTTACGGCCCTGTTGGCTTATGCTGAATGGCTGGAACTAGTCTTCATTGATGCCGCTAATTATTTAGAAGTTTTTGGTGAAAGAGCAAATTAAATCGAAAAAACTGATTACAGCCCTTTTGGCGTATGCTAAATGGTTGGAACTAGGCTTCAAAGACGCACACTAATTATCTAGAAATTTTTGGTAAAAAAATTAATGAAATCGAGTCAATAGAAGCTGAATTAATCGAAAAAAATTGATAACGGCCCTTAATTAATTGAAAAAATAGAATAGGGCCCTTTTGGCACATGCTAAACGGGTAGAACTAGTCTTCATTGATGCCACTAATTATTTAGAAATTTTTGGCAGAGGAATAAATTGAATCGGGTCGATAGAACGTTAATTATTTGAAAAAATAGAATACGGCCCTTTTGGCATATGCTAAACGAGTCTTCAAATACGCGACTAATTATTTGAAAATTTTTGGTAAAAGAACGAATTGAATCGGATGGTTAGAAGGCGAAATAATCGAAAAAATAGAATAAGGCCCTAAGGCATCCTGCGCAGATGGTCAAAATGCAGGTTTCAGACATTCCCTTGATAGTTAGCGTTGCGCACACCCCGGAAAAAGCAGCTGCGCTGTCCCCGCCTCAAAAGAGTTATGGTATAATTAGGTACTTTTTAAAATTTTTGATATCACCCTTTTTTGGCCCTAAGGGTTGTTAGTTGGGTAATAGATAATGTCCAACTTGACTGGAAGTATTATGGGGCGATGAGCTGAAATGTTTTTAAATATATTATTATACATATATGTAGTTAGTCGGCAGTGAAAATATCCATGAATGTTTACCTATCATTGATAAAATATAAATGCAAGTCCGAGCTTGTTGTTGTTTTTGCTAAAACGGAAGCGCTTATCAGTTATAAGTAAAAATAACCGTGAAATATGATACCCCTGTTTTGTTTATTACTTTCCCACATTAAACGTCGGCGGCGTGCTGATTTATGAATTTGTTTTATTTACCACTACGGCATCCTGTATTAGAACACAATAAACTTTACTTTATGTAGGCTAGATGGCGCCACCGATAACAGAATGACGTAACCCACGTGTCTCAGGCCGCTATAAGGTCATCACAGAACCTGAACCGTAAATTGAACTTTATTGCACTATGTACGCTAGATGGCGCCACCGACATACACTGACGTAACCCACGTGACCCAGGTCACTATGACGTCATCAGAACCTGAACTATAATTAAATATACGTAGCGACATCTAAACGACATAAAACAATATCTTCCACGCAAACTCCATATTACAGGAACCTGTAATTTTGAACCCTTCCTGTCGATCAATTGCAATAATTCACCGCACTCACGACAGATGGCGCCATGACGTTTGGCAAGATGGCGCCGACGACGCATCCACCTTCGTGTCAACGACGGCGCATCCACCACGTGTCAAGAATGAAAGATTGAGGTTATGGTCGGAATTTTGTAGTCATACCCCCTTTGATTATCTACTAACACAACATTTTTATCTAAGTAGTACTGCAATGATGAAAATATTCACATATATGTCTATGACGTAACGCCTGCTCTTATCATTGTCGCAGGTTTAATTGTTTACTCTGAATGAAAATAGTTTATCAGTATTGCGGCTGGACGGCTCAAGCAGTGTAATTTCCTATGCGACGCGTTTGCCTTATTTTTGTTTTTGTTGGTGAACGTGTTAATATAATTTAGCAATATATTGATGATAGGTAATGAATATTTGAAGCAAAAATGCCAGGAAAATCCTTATGAGGAAAACTTGAGACAGAATTATTCTTGTAGAGAAATATTTGTATAAATGAGTCATGGGTCTAAGGCATGTTGACAATAAAAGTCACTCGAACTAGCGGCGATTTTGATCCGAATACGAGCGAAAGCGTTGTATCAATATGATGTAAATAATTTTAAAAAAATCTCAGGGTTGTTGTCGCTGATTTCTTATTTTGAGACGAGAGACTTCAGCCTTCTGATTAATTAGACTTGTTAGGACTTGCTTATCGCAGGATGCCAACGTAATAAGCAACAGTAAAATTGAAACGATGGCCCATATTTCTAGGAAAAGTTCGCTGGAGTGTGCAGGTGGATACGAAGCTGGTGATACAGACTAGTCAGAGCTTGTTTATCGCAGGTCACAGGAAAGTTACAAGTTATGGTTTCGCTGTGGTTGCAATAAATGTTGACGACCCGATGGCGAAACGACGTTTTTATTTTTAGTGACGTCATCATCAGACCCGATGGCTAAACAACATTTTTATTATTAGTTACGTCATCATCAGACCCGATGGCGAAACGACGTTTTATTATTAGTTACGTCATCGTCAGTACAATGCACCTTGAATGAGGTACCAAGTCACGAGCTGCTATGTGTTTTCGATGAGTCGCTTGGAGCCAGGTACGGTTGACCCCGAACGCAGCGGCGGCTGATCAGTTAGTGCGACCGATGAAAGACACGGGCACTGGAAAGGGGGCGGGGCTTAGCGGCAACGACTGCTGGCGGGCTGGACGGATGACCTTGAACGGTACAAAAATTGCCAGAACGGACCTTAGATTTTCTTATGGAGATTTACATGGGAAAATGACTGATTTTGCTGTAGAACTGTCATAGCCCCTTTACTCACCTGCAAGCTAATGCACAGGCTACGCGAATCACCCTGTTTAATTCTACAGTTTATCATCGACGTTTAAAAAAAAAATGGAAAATAATTTGTTTCGTGATTTTACGGTCACAGATTACGTTATATATTCGTCATAAGTCCCAACTAAATCACGTCATAGAAAGACGACATTTTGTCGTAACATAATGACGTCATGGGGCTGTGACCTTAACCCGTCATTTTTTCGTCAAAATGACGTCATCTTTTTCGTCCCAATGACGTAAATGAAATCCAATTAGTCACGTCATTATGACGACAGCGTGTTTGCTGGGTAAGGTCTGTTCCCACAGAAATCACAGACCAGTCAGAGCGTTTTTGATTGGTGCAAATCGCCAACAAACAGTTTTCTGACTATTTTTAACAAATGAAATTGGCTCCGAGTCTGACTGGTTTGTGATTTCTTTGAGAACAGACCGAAAGCACAAAGAATGGTCAATTCAACTTATGATGCACTGAAAAAGGAACAACGCGACATGGAAGAAGTAATCAAAAATGCTAAAATGTGTGTTAATTGCGCTGATACAGGACTGCAAAAAAATGAAAATGATGTGACAATTCAAGACTTAATACCTGTAATTCGTCCTCGTGAAAAAAAAAGATAAAAGAAGATGTCAAGGGAGAAAGCAGAGATGATACTCCTCTAGCTACTGCTATTTTAAAATTTGAGGTGGGAATAGTACATGATGTGGCCATGGATCACATCATAACCAGAATAGATGAGGCATTCCCTTTGAAGCATATAGAGTTATTTGTGCTGATTTTTCATTTTTGGATACAAATAATTTTTCCGAATTCATGCCAGACGCTGCTTTAAATAAAATAAGGTAACTAGGTGACTTGAAAAGGACGGAGCTGTATGACCGCTCTGAATTTAACGATGGAGATGATACAGGGAATGAATTAGAACTTTTTAAATGTTCTTCACATTTAGGTTGCAACAATGTTTTGTTTTCTATAAGTAAATACCGATTTCATATCCGTGCTTAAGAGTCATCTTTGGGGCTTACCAGTATGCCCTCACTTCAACGTGCATACAAGTAGAGGGTGCGAAAAATGCTTTTCAGTTTTCAGCACCTAAATTTATTACAATGGAAAATTTGGATGCGTTGGTGATAAATGAACCTAAATACCTATTATTAGATCACATCTAGGGGTGATGTGCCGCACGAATTGATCAATGTATGGGCCGCTAGACTAAAATTTCCCGGCCCACTTCCAAAAGTTCGTCCAACCCTGGTTGTAGAACTAACGTTCCAATTACGTAAAATACATGTTTACCCTAGCAACGTTGAGAATTCACGAGATGACATGTTTGTGACGTTTTCTGTTTTATGTTTTCGTTTCACTTGGAAATAAACGTTGCAAATTCGAAACTAACTTGTTTTGTAGGGGAGAGTGGGTAACAGTGGATCACGGGGCACAGTGAATCTTCTACCATAGCTCCACATAATTTAAGCGTATGCGCGCGAAAGTACTGTTGTTTGTTCCTTTTAAATACTTCTCCTCAGCCCATCTAATCGCTGTGACGATATCAAAGTGGTAGGAGCAAAGTCTGTTCTGCGTCGCTCTGAGCAACAGGCAAGTACGAATCTTTTTTATCACGTGTTTTAAAAATTTGTGTTATATTTAAATGAGTAATAATTCTGGATATTTGGGTACAGTTGTATGCTTAGTATTGTTTATATCAGTTGTAAACGATGTTGTTGTGTCTTTAGTAGTATTCGTTTTTTTTGTATATATTTTTTTCCAAAATAACCGTCATTGGGTCACAGCGAGCGAATCGTTTTGTTTTGGGGTTCAGTGGATCAGTGATCCAATAATGTAACCCACAATGATCTACTATGTGACCCGTTAAGCTATAACTTAACTTATACTTACTTTTTAATAGGTGAAAATATGCCTCGCAACAGGAAAAGGAAAACTACTATCGGACTACCACACCGAACAACAAATGCAAAACGCTCAAGACTTATATATCGGATGGTCAGAAAATAAGGGCTGTTGCAAGAACCACTCATATCCCATACACAACTTTAAACAGGTATTACAAGAAAATTCGGAATAACCCTGATCCTAAGAAAATAATTTGGCTTACACCTAATTAGGCAGTTCGTAAAATATTCAGAGATGCGTAAGAAAAGAGTACGACGACGGTTCAGAAATCTGCCAAAGGACAAAAGCAAGTCTCCAAGGTCTCCAGCGCAGAACGAGTAGGGACCTAAAGTAACAACTTGTTACATAATTGGAGCTTTGCGCTTTGGGGAATGCATTGCCACCAATAATATTTCCTAGAGTGCATTTCCATTTCAAGCAACATATCATCGCGGACGCTCCGCTTAGGCGTGCTACACAGTCTGGCTGGATGAAATCAGATTCGTTGCTAAGTTTTGTAAGACCTTACTGTCTTCTGGTAGAAATAAATGAGTTATAGTATGAAAACAATAATCTTTTACTGTAATTATTTTCATAGATCCAGTGTGCCCAAGTTGATTCACTGTTCCCCGTGCACTGATCCAAACTGACCCACTCCTGGGCCACATTGGATCTTTTACGAACTTTTATTTCAAGGCTATATGTTGAAAGTTTATGTCATATTCGCCATCAAATTACTTTTTCTGTTAAGTCTTACATACTCTTTCTACAACTGAGAAAACAGTGATTTAGCGATAAGTTGTGGAACTGTATGAGTTAGAAAAAAAAAGATCCACTGTTACCCACTCTCCCCTAACGTTTTTTTAATGTTAGGTATATAACATGCTTGAAACGTCCCAAAAGACGTACCACTTGCATTATTTTCGACCAACGCCGCAGTTTTGTTTACATTTAGATTAGAGGTTAGGTTAGGCCAGGCCTGCTGTGTAAAAGTCGGTGTTTCTGGATTTTTATTAGGTAAATAAAATTGGGTAGAATATAGGTTATTTTATGCTATAAAACCAATTTTAATTATTGATATCATCCTATGTGTTTCTTGAAGTGTTTTTTTTTGCGTGGTACTAGGTAGGTATACCTATATTGTATTGTGCCCCTCTGAAACTGATGTGCTAAACAAGACAGGGTGAGTCTCTGAAGATGGATCACAAAGTAAGTTTATTTTTCACCAAGAAATAGATGTATGATGTATTAGTTATTATTTTAGGTATTGTGGTTGAGCTGGTATTATTCTTTTTTGAAATAAATACCTACAACTAGCAGGCAGAAATGGGGCCCAATTCGTAAGAAGGGGAATGGCCGAGGGATTGGCCAACGTTTTCGCCAGTAAATTCCCACATAACAAAATTGCATCCTTAGAATGTACTGAGAATGTTCTTTTTTTAAGAGGAATGTGCCTAGAATGTTCGCCAAAACCATTGCGAATGTCCTGAGAATGTTCTGAGAAAAGATTGTAGAAATACCGTTTGCAATACCCAAGAACTTCCTGGGAAATCCATTAGGATATTCCTAGAACATACTCATGAGATTCTCAGTACATCCTGAAAAGAATATTCCTGTTTGATTCTCAAAATATTCTTGAATGTATATTTATTCTCACATTTTAAGAATGTTTCTATGACATTATATTTATGTTAGAATATTATACCAATATGCTTGAAATATTCTTAGAATATATCTACATATATCATTCTCAATATGCATCCTAGACATAACATTTTTGTTTGATTCTAGGAACATACTTGGAATGTTAATTTTCGCATCCAACCAAATAATCGAGCAAATAATGCTCCTATCAGTCCTTTTATATTAAAAGCAGTGAAAGAGTTGTTGGAAAATTTCTCTGGAAAACAAGTGTTTAACCAATGCTCCAGTTTCAAGCTTATTATGCTCTCGTCGCGGTAAGCACGCCAACTGAGAAAAACAGGTTCCAAGGTGATTCAAACACGAGGCAAGATGTAGATCATTAATAGCGCTCTCTTGGAAGTCCTACAAAGCAAAAGAAAAAGAATATACCTAGAACATTTTTAGTAGGTTCTAGATAGAGCATTATTGTTTAATTGTTCAATTAAGATTTTTGAGTAGGTACTTTAGATAATTAAGTGATCAATATGGAAATATTCTTATCATGGGTACCTACCTACATAAACTTCTCAGCACAACTTGGTAGGTACCTATATTCTTGATACCTGATCGAGATATTAGCCGAAAGAATATTTTTAGGGTACATTATAATAATGTTTGTATAACAATATTCAAATAATGTTATATAAGGTAGGTTCTTAGCACTATCTTTCAGGTAGGTGCATAGAGCAACATTCCTAGTACATAAATAGAACGTCCAAAAATGAATATTTCAATCGAAACAAACTTAGAATATTCATTAAACATTCCTAAAAGAACATTCCAAAAAGCACTTTGAGGGAATATTCTGAGAATATGAATGTCCTTTCATTGTTATGTGGGTTGTCTCTACATTGTTACATTGTTCGTGAGCTGGCCAGAAAAATTATTTCAAAATAAGGGATTTGCGAAATCGAGGTTTGATTTTGATCTAGAATATGTTTTGATTGTAACTAATTAGTTTGTTTTTTCTAAGTCCTGAATGATGAAGAGGTGACGGGGGAAGGTGGTGATGAGATGGTTTATTCATTTGAACCAGCGCCTTATCAAGCAGAAATTCCAAAATTGGTAAATTTTACCCTTTTAAAAGTTAATTAAAAAAATAACAATTCTGTATTATTTGTTTTAGCCGATTATCATCAGAGGCCAGCCAGAAATCATGTAATTTTTCAATTTAATAAATAAATAAAATAAATATCGCAGTTCGTTTTATTGTAAGTATGTAGGTAATTAATAAAATTTTCAACGGTATAGTTTCGAAACAAAAACGTAACCCGCAACCTATTGAAAAACATCGCATAAACGAAACTATTATGGCATAGTTTCGAAACAAAAACGTAACCTAGTAACATAAATATAACGTTATCATGAGTTTCTTGAAAAAAACATCTCGAAAACGAAACTGTTATGGTATAGTTACGGAAAAAAAACGTTAATTTATAAACGGAACTGCGATTTTGTCACGTTTGAGGACATTTACCGAAACTATTCCATTAAGGCGCCGTAACAGATCCTTTTCGAATAACGTAACAATGTAACCTAAAATCAAAGATGTGACGAAATTGGGATGTTTTTTAGCTTAGTGGGTTAGCCATGTCCACGCCCAAGAAACATACAGGGTGTCCCACTAAGGTCGGCCAAGTACCATATATTATGGAGACCATAGACTTTACGTAACCTGAAAACGAATGCAGATATTGAATTGCGGTTTGCGCCAAAATGTAGATATATTTTCGCTCTTCAAGCACAGCAATATAAAAATAATATTATGCCATTTGGATTTTTCATGAAAATTAGAAAAAACTGGATCTTGAATATACAGCGCCCTCTAAAAGACGCGGTGGAAACTATCGACCTCGAACGAAGTGGTGTTCTTAATACCAATGAAATTCTCTTCCAAATAAACCCAGATTGAATGAGTTTGAATGATTGGTATAGAAGATACAGCAATTTAAAAAAAAAAAAAAATCACCAGCTTCCCCCACCCTTATTACTGAAGATACGAAAAAAAGCCTGATAACCAAACTGGCGCAAAAATTAATGAACTTTTGATTTTTGTTGTTAAAACAGTATCTTAATATAGCGATTTCTTGCGAAAAGTTGAATTTTTAGCTATATCATCGTGGCCGACCTTAGTGGGACACCTGTATATAGCAAAATTTTGTTGCTGGTTGCGGCAACCTGTTTATGGAAACAGAAACAACAACAAAAGTTTCGTAAATATTCTGTTCACACCATGGTTAGTCATTTTTGTGAATGTTACCTTGTGTTGCTGCAACAGTAAACGCTGTGTGCACGTACACCAGCAGTGTGTATTTTTAGTCACGAAACAATGTGATGCAACGACGATTTAAAGACACAGACACACAACGGCTCAGTTTTGAGTTTTGGGAACAAGCAACAACGTTGTGCACCCTGATAAAACTAAAGTTGAGAAACAAAGAATGTTTAGCAATAATATTTCTATATTTCCTTCGATCTTTGTCCCTAAAAATGGAATCTAGCATCTTATAGGAACTTTATGTTGCTGCAACCGTAAAAAATAAGTAGGTAGGTAACTTGGATAAAGTTTTGGTAACATACAGAAACAAGTTTCAGGAACGAGCAACATAAACGTCATAAACACAATGTTCCTATGTTGCTCTCGGTGTGGACGTAGATTTAACAATGAGGAACTTGAATAAACTTTTGGAAACATGCAGAAAAAAGTTCCTTTTGGTGTGGACGTAACTTTATATATTTGGCATTGCTGTTTGGGGTTCTGAAAGACCCAGACTCTGGAACGCTCATATTCTATTCAAATATTACTGGCGCCCATATTTCCAGTTTAGTCTCCCAATTTAATAGGTAGGTAGTTAATTAATTTAATCTGAGCTAGGGCATAAATTGGCTATGCTTTTGAAATTATTGTTTTTCTCGAGTAGAGTGTTTTCTTACTATTCAAGTTTATTATATTTCCTTCCATATAATCAACTACTTTAGTTTTGAACATTTTATTTGCTACTAGGAGAATTCCAAAATTTTCAAGAATATTTAGAATCTTTCCTACGCTTGGAGGCATGAGAGCTTTTGTACGACTTACCTTCATTCGTAAAACTACTTTTCTCTTAAACCTGGATAATCTTGGGTCAGACGTGTCCATTTTGTGAAAGGCTTCAAATTGATGGTAGGCTCTCCAGGTGAATCAGTTTCAGGTAGGTATATCTAGGTGAACCACTTTTAACTTACATTTGGGCTGCGTTGGCTCTGGTCATTGTATAGGTAGGTAAGCATCACTGCGTTGATTCTTTGAGAACTAAATAAGATCCGCAATACTGGCGTTAACTTGGTTGTGATAACATTTTTCCTTTTCCCTCACGAATTATAAGACTACACCTTATTTATTACCTTGTTGAAATCCTGTCAAATTACTCAAATTGGCCTGAAGATCGTACCTTGCTAGATTGTTCACGAGAAAAAATTATGATAGGTTCCCGCAGCTTGCTTCTTTGGAAAACTGGGGTGATGTGTTAAGATCTGCAGATCCATTGGCAGGTTTACACTCTGTTTAAGCTGAAATTTTTAAAGCAAGTTTTCCTTTAAAACGTTCAAAACAAAAAAACAAAAAAAAGTTGGATTACTAAAGGAATAAGAGTTTCAGCAAGAAATTTAAGATGTCTCCACTATATAAGAAAATTCAATATGTGTAATCAATTTTTTGCAAATTATTTCAATAAGTATAGATCAATATATCGTAGAATTATAAAGGCAGATAAGCAACTTTATTATGTAAAGAAAATTGCGTCACAAGACAGCTTGGCAAATTGTAAACGAACTTCGAGGAGATAAGTGTAGCAAGGAATGTGTGGATCCCAAATTAAACGCTACTGATTTAAATAACTTTTATTTTAATATAACATTGCTGCGCAAACTGGAGATTTATGGATTTAGGGGTAAATTACTAAGTTGGTTTGAATCATAAACTACTCAAAACGAAATAAGGACCACTTTTAAGAACACCTTGATTTTTATTAAATTTTGGATAACCCTGGTGAGGTGATTTTTTTCCATTTACAATATAGATAAAAATAAAGTGTGCACGAAAAAATTATATTGTTAATGGAAATAAACACTTTACCAGGGTTATCCAATATTCAATAAAAATAAAGGTGTTTTTAAAAGTGGTTATATTCGGTTTTTACTAGTTTATTTGACCAATAGAGTCCAGTCTGTATCTCATAATGGGATGAAATCAAACCAACAGACTCTAAATACTGGAGTGCCTCCGGGTTCGATTCTGGGACCAATTTTCTTTTCACTGTATATTAATGAAATTGTAAACCATAATACGTTTTTCAAATCGAACGATTCCTATGAAGAACTGTAATCTCGAAAAATGGGGGCATCGAGGCATCGTTTTTCCACCAAGATCACCAGATCTTACGCCCCTAGACTTTTTTTGTGGGGATATTTGGAGAGTATCGTCTACCTACGCCGATCCCCCAGCCACTATGGAACAGTTAAAACGCAACATTTGAGAGGCCATTTCCAACATTCCTATTGAAATGTGTCAGCGAGTCTTCCAACATTTAAAAGCATCATTGGAGGAGTGCTATGCGAGGGATGGTTGACATTTGGATAACGTTGTGTTTAAATAATAAAATCCGCATTTCTGTACTTCCAAAATTTATTATTTAAATTGCCCCAACACGTTTTATTTTGTTTTTATAACATGTTAAAAAGGGAAATTTACTCTAAGTCACCCTGTATTTCTGGAAGCTTTACATTGTTTGCAGATGATGCAACAATTCTCTGGAGTGGTACATACAGATGAACGCATTTGGGCTGAAACCATTAGCCACGACCTGTCCTCAATAAAGAGGTTGTGCGATTCAAATAAACTGTGTCTAAATATTTCCAAAACAAATGTTTTTTTTTTTTTTTAAATGTAATCTGGGACTATATAATCTAAATAAAAAGTTGGCATCAAATTGTTATGCTTTAAAAATAATTTCAAGTGAATTAGATAAAAATATTAGGAGAGAATCGAAGGAGATCGAAGAAAAATTTGAATACAAAACTTTTAGATAAATATGAGTAATGAGTACTACATTTTTAAATTATTTTCTAGTACCTATACAAAGTGGCCCAATTCGTAAAGTCTGTTTTTTTTTTAAAGATAAAAGTGAAAATGACATTATGTTAGCAATACAATGTAAAATTGTCAATGCTTTCAAATATTTTATGTAAAAAAGACTTGTGTTGCATATAGTACTAAATTTTTGACTTGGGGAATTATCTTTAAAGAAAAAACAGACTTTAGTGGTGACACAAAGTTATGTTTTTTTAGATGACTCTCCCTGTATATTATGACATATCTGGATTCTGCGGAAAATTCTAGACTTATTTCATGTACAATGTCATATACCTATCTTCATCTGTTTCGGAAATATTGACAGTAGAAAATTGACTTTTTTGCATCTCTGACAGACTGTAAAACCTGAACGACTAATTTTACAGCTAAACCGATCATACAGGGTGTCCGAAAAGGTTTTTACGATGTGTAAAAATTATAACTTATCAAGTTTGAGATTTATTTAAAAAAAAATAATAATAAACTACACACTGTGGAAATTTTTTTTATGAAAAAGTATGCCGTCGAGGTGCTGCCCTCATACGGATCGTCTCCTCCAAACGACCTCTGAAGGTGGTAAACACGCGGTTGCAGAGTTCTTATGGAATTGCTCGAATTTCGTCGCGAATTATTTGCTTCAACTGTTCCAAATTTGCAGGAATTTGAACGTACACTTTTGATTTAAGGAAACCCCACAAAAAAAAATCCATGGGAGTTAAATCGGAACTTCTGGCGGGGTATTTGACGTTACCATTCTTCGATACAAGCTTTCCTGGAAACAACCTTCGAAGGATCCCCATGGAAAGATATGCAGTGTGGGCAGTCTTGCTCTTGCTCCGTCTTGCTGAAACCAAGTATTTTGATTGAATCCACGAAAATTTCGCAATTTTGATAAATATAATACGGCTGCTTGTTTTCTTATTGAACGGCGAGGCGTTCGTCTAACTGCTTCTCGAACACGCTCGATATTTTCCACACTTCTACCAGCTCTGGGCTGGTTCGACCAATATGGCTGTTATTCACTGTTGTGCCTTCTGTTTCAAATTTTCTAACCCAATGTCCGAATAAAGGACGTGTCGGAGCTTGATTAATGTCGTGTAAATTGAAATGTGCACGAAAAAGGCGACGAACTTGGATGTAAGAATGGTTGTTCTCATAAAATACTTTCACAGAGAAAACGAGCCGCGGCTTTGTGGATCGTTCAATGACGATCGCTCCATGGCTACTGAAATTCCAAGATGCACGCTCAGCATTGCATTGGCTCGGATTCCCCCACTCCTAACGGTTCTCGAGAAATATAACAAACAGATCGTAAAAACTTTTTCGGACACCCTGTACATTCCTATCTTAGTTTTTCATAAACTATCATTTGACACCAACTTTTAATTTAATCCATGATTAAAAATTCCGCTTAAATTATTATTCTCCGGTAAAGTTCAAAAGTGGTGTCAAATGATAGCTTATGAAAAATCTAGGAAAAGAATGTAAAATCGGTTTTGCTGTAAAATCAACCGTTTAGGTTTTACAGTCTGTCAAAGATGCAAAAAAGTCAATTTTAAACTGCCAATATTCCCGAAACAGTTGAAGATAGGTATATAAAATTGTATAAGAAATAGGTATATCTAGAATTTTTCATTGAATCCATGCAGAAATGTCATAATATACAGGGGAAGCCATTTAAAAAAACATAACTTTGTATAACCACCAGTTATTGGGCCACCCTGTATACTGGAAAATAATTCAGGAATGTAGTACTAGTGTTAGACTACGTAAACTAGGGCATCACTTTATTGTATGTTTGATATTTGTACGTTTTGAATTTATCCATTTATTTTTTTATTTATTATGTACCTTCTTTCAGCTTTGTTTACAACAGTACTTTGTTTGAAACAATATTAGATATTTATGTTATAAGGATCATAATGATTGTTTATATTCCGGCGTGTCAAAATGACAATATTATGGACATCATTTAAGTGTCAAAATGACATACTTTATTGGATTGAGTACTATAATGATTTGATTTTAGTACTAAGTACTATAATGAGAAAATAAATATATAGGTATAGCAGGCACAAAGATGAAACATCTAATGGAAACAACAAAATTTAACAATCAAAATTAATTACAAAATCTTTACAATTCGATAAACTGATCTTGGACATAGGTGTCGAAATTTTCGCACATTGTTTTCCAGTGAATTTAACTTTGACAATATGACAAGACAAACAAACAATTCCGTTGTTACTAGTTGTCAAGCAGTCAAGCACATTACTAAGATTAGCCTTCTTCAATTATTCCCGATAAACTCAAATGTCACAAAACAATGTATTGACTTAAATCGCCGGAATATAAAATATTGTATGAAATTCGGATCATAAAGCATATTTTGATTTGATTTATTTATTCATCCTCCAGGCGCCAGGGTGCTAAACAGTGTCGGCCCGTGACTTTTATTTTAAGGGAGGCAGCCCAAAAAAAAATGAGCGTCGTAGGTAATTTTTTTTTTGGGGCACTAAAGCGCACAGTCAACTGCGACCGTATTTCAATAATTCCGTTATAATTATATAGATCTAAGTACTATAACCTGATGAAATATAACACAACTATCCTTTTTTGACAATAAGTAGGATATGAGCGAAGAACTCATAATTCTTCGATAGCTCCATCAACATATTCATGTATATATCCTATTCATAATCCGTACCGTAGTCCAAAGGTAAAGGTAAATTTATCACCTTTCCCTATCAAATAGCACTAAAACGTGATAAATTTTACCTTTACCTTTGGACATCGGATTGTGAATAGATATTAGATATACTCAATACCATTCTTCGTTAAAAACCAGACACAACTATAAAGAAAAAAATAAGAAATCATAAAAAATGTTACCAAATAGAACCAAAAAATCTTGGGAAAGCTCCAACTCCTACTTGACTAACGCAATTTTCTCCAAGGGATCTTCAAAGGTCGAGAAGGCACTACCAATTTGTTTTTTTTTTTTAAATTCCTCTGATATACCTCTCATCACTAACAAATTATATCATTGAAAAAATAACTATTCTTTTAATTTTCAGGTAATCCTTATTCTGGCTTTAGTTTTCTTTTTCCTACGAGGCTACATAGTTGATGCGCTGGTCGCCGAACACAAATTTTCCCTATCTGAGGGTTTGGATGCTCTAAGCATATCGAGTAGTGCTTTTATATTTATTTTGGCAGTTGCATTGGGAATGCAGATCTTTAAAAGCAACGAGTTGGATAAGGAATTCGAGGCTTGGTTATTCACGGTTGGAGCTACTTTGCTGATCGCCTGTAAGCATTCTTCAAAATCATCCGAAAAGCCTTAATTCATAAATCTCAATTTGTAGGTGGAATTGTGGTATGTATTTATTCAGACCGGTTCTATAATGCAACTCGCCTTCTGATCGGCGGACTCATTGGAATTGTAGGCGGATGTGCCTTATTGGTTAACGCCTTGAAAGATTTCAACGTTTTTTGATTTAGCAAAAACTTGTTAATGCTTACGTATATTTTAAATGAAAAAAATAAATAAAATATATTGCAAATTTGTATTCTGTATTTTTTCAGGTATTCTGTTTTTTTTTTTAAATTCTATATCAGGTAGTACTTTAGGTTTAGGTTTCTTGTGAGTGGTCCGATGTCGGCCCTGCGACCTACGGTCTATTGTGGCTCACTCCGAGTTTATATTTCCCCCATCAGTCCAGCCCTTCTTATGAAGGTGGAGATAAGTGTGGGGGAAGCATGCTTTATGTATTCGGGTAGAACAGCTGACTCCCCGAAAACAGCATGCCTTCTGCCTTATTGCCGGATACGTGCATAGGACGTGTTCTGCAGTTTCGTCCCCTTCCAGGCATAGGCGACACTTTCTGCTATTCCGATCTTGTGTATGTGATGACGGAGTTTGCAGTGTTCAGCGTACAGACCAACCAGTGCTTTGAGGCTCTTCCTCCCCATTCCCAGAAGTATGTCTGCCACAGGGTTCAGAGGATTTTGCATAGTTCATGCCTAGTAGTCTCGACCAATATTGTTTGGCCTCTGTATTGAGGTCGAGATTGTGAGGTTAGCCGTATTCAGGGCTATTCCCGGTACTGGTTCCGGTCCAATAAAGTTAAGCTCCGATCCAGCTGTTGCAAGTTGGTCCGCTTTTCCGTTGCCTCCTTCCCACATAGCATTAAAAGAACATTCACATGCTGAGTATATCCGCTCAGTGTTCCCTAAAGGTCATTCTTTAAAGTATATGTTTAGCATGTGCTTACTGTATATATTTTAGGAATGTTCTTTTCAGTAAATGTATAGCATATGATAAGTATCTACCAATTGAAATATTCCTTAGCGCACATGCTGAGCATATTCGGGAAAGGAACATAAAAAGTATACTTACTTCAAGTATATTCGAAGTATATGCCAGGTACATCCGAAAAAGCATATTTTAAATAAAACAAAAACAACAAACTTGAATAAAACCTTGAGAACAATTTTGCCTACACAATTTTTTCTCGAGTGGTATTCGTCATGACTATTTCACGTAAGATTTTGAAATAAATAGAATGCAAAATTATGAATAAAAACTTCAAATTAAAAATACCAGTTTGACAATGTCAAAAGATGGTCGCTGAAATACCATGTTGTTGGTATTGTCCAGGTAGCGTTATTGTCAGGTGAATACCGAATTTATTGCTGGTGTAATGCACTCTAGTGAAATAGTCTTTAAAAAAAAAACATACTTTACATTCGTAACATGTGTTAAGAATATTCTAAAAGTGTATTCTCTCTAACACACCTACCGCGTCAATTCGCGCAGGTGCAAACAGCGCTTATAAAATTTATTGAATGATGAAAAATCCTGGATTTTTAATTTAATAAGAAATGCCTCTTTGCTAGACTCAGATATATTTTAATCTCATAATAAAATACCATTCGCGGATATAGGAACATAGGATACGTTCCAGTTTCCAATCGCTGTCAACTGCGCTCGCGCTTTTTTCTTCTTAGTTGCCAACCTAACCTATACAGAGGCTCTTCATTTCACATCAAACATTTCCATTTTAATCATCGTAATTTTCTCAATTTAAGATTTCCATTCTTTCTAGTTTTTTTTTTTTGATTCTGGGTTATCTCGATTCTTAGTACGTGCTCGCTCGCGGCTTCGTCTGTTTTATCTTGTTCACAAAAGTCAAAAGATCTTTTGTGGCAGTTGTGGCCTTTGTTTTTGTGTATGTTTTCAGTGATTTATTTATTTTTTCCATTTTCTTTCACAGAAAAAACTGGAAGTTAAGGTAAGTATAGTTCACTGATCTCAAAAATAAATGGATAAACAAAGAACGCTTCTAATGCTGCTAATTTACGAGGTCATAATGTAAACAAAAACAACTGACTGGGACAGCTGTGAGCGTGCGCAGTAGATACATGTACTGTGCCTGCACAAAATCTGGCCAATGAAAACGAAGGAATTTCAGAATTTAGAACAGTTGTTCGAAAGATAAGACACTGCGCAGGCGTTAGGCTGTTCCGTTGCACAACTGTTCATAGAATATTGACCCCACATTTTCGCACAAGTTTAGCCAATTGAGCCGTACGATTGTTTATCCATTTATTTTTTAGATCAGTGGTATAGTTGTTAATATTTTATTTCGATATTGTTTACTCCATATGTGAGAATGTAAATTAGGTTTATAATTATACTAATTAAAAATAATTCAGGAAAATCTTAGGGTTGAGACACTTATGGCTCCTATTCCAGCAGTGAGAGAACCTCTTCCGCTAGTAATGTTGATCGGCAGCCACAAATTCTAGTCTAAATTGTGGTTTTCCCAAACATTGACACTGTTTCCCATTCAAGCTCTTGGGCTGTGGAAGAAAGAATTTCACATTCAAGTCTGCTGAAGCTGTTGCAAATTTTATTCATTCCATACATTATTTACACACTTCATATTTTTTGTAATATTGAAAGCTTATTTAAATATATGTTCATATGTGTATGTTAACATTTTATTTTTTTAGCCTAATTTCCAATTATAATTATTTGTTCCTGAGTGTGAAAAGACAGTTTTTTCGCTAGGACATAAGGTGTCCCAGCAAAAGAAGAAGGGTAGGTCCAGCTTAATGTGATGTCTGTCTCAAAATTAAATAGAACAGCAGGTAACAGGTGGAAATGCTTTTTGCGAACACACTGTGGTATTTACGATCGTTGTAACTAATTGCACATTTGGATAGGATTCCTAGCTAACTGTACGCTTGGTCAGATCAATTGCAAATACTACAGGATCCCCGCAAAAAGCGTTTACACTAACTTTTTACCTGTTCTATTTAATTTTGAAACAGACACTATTGTGGCATATTTCTGGAATTCATGTCATATACTATTTATACACTATAGATGTGCCAAGGCATATGTCATGAATATAAATATCCCATGATATATGTACATTCCTAAAGAATATAGTAGGTACATTTGGAGCATATTCTGTGGATATGTGTTCAGTACATGCTGAGCTTGTGACTAGGACATACTTGAGGATATTATAAGCACATACCTAACATCTGTTACGGTGGGTCTGTAACATATACTCAGGATGTACTGTGGATGTGCGCAATGCTTTTTGGAACATATCTAGCATATACTTTTCCTTGTCTGGAATATTCTGTACATGTGCTAAGCATGTACAATTGCTATGTGGGTTATCCGGTATGTCCCGGTATCCATACTAGTGAAACGTTGTTATTTTCCCCTAGCTGGGTCAGGGCTTGTTTACAGTTCCATACTGGTATCGACGTGCAATGTATGGATGCCAGTGCTTTCAGCGCAGCTTGGCTATCAGAAAATATTTTTATCGACTTGCGCCTTTGTTGCTTTTTCAGCAGCTTTTTCGCATCAGACTCGATGGCCAGCAATTCGGCCTGAAATCTGGATGCGTTTTTGCTAAGGCTGACCGAAATTCCCAGCCTTGGTTTTTCACTATATACCCCTGCTCCGACACCATGTTTAGTTTTGGATCCATCTGTGAACAGGCAGAGATCTGCCCTCAGTAGCTAGGTCCTGTCGCTGGCCCATAGCTCTCGCTTTCTGTCGGGAATCATTGTTTTGAAGGGCAAACCAAAGTTGGTTTTCTGTGGCATTATGTCAGAAGGCATGCTGAGGGTGCCGTGTCGATTTATTTCATCCACAAGCATCGTGTGTTGCATTGCGCTTCTCTTCTCCCCTCCAAAGTGTTTTTTGAAGCATGGTACAGCCGATAGGTTGACCTCATTGCTTCCTTCTTCACGTATATGTGAAGTGGAGTCAGGCTTATGAAGACATCCATAGCTGCTGTAGGCGTGATGCGCAACGCTCCAGTTATCGCCAGGCAAGCTATTCTCTGCAGTCCGCTAAGTGTGGCTTGAACCCTTTTCTGATTCGCCTTGCCTCACCATACTACAGAGCCATAGGTTATCATTGGTCTGCTAACCATGGTTTAGATTCAGTGAATCTGTTTTGGAATTGTTCCCTAGGTCTTTCCGCAGATCCTGTGGCAGTTCCAAAGCGACAATTTTGCCTTTTGGCTTACTTTTTCCAAATGAGCGTTCCAGTTTAGAGTCTTGTCCAGGATGAATCCCAAATACTTTGCTTCATTTGAGAATGGTACTAATTCTCCCCGAATAGTTAGGGGTACCAAGTTATCAAGTTTTCTTCTTCTGCCCCTTCCCATGGCTTGCGGTGGTTTATGCGCCCTCCAGCTAGATCAGATTGCTGTCGTCGGCACAGGTTATTTGCAACCATCCTGGGCGATGAGTGCAGCCCTGGAATCGCGCCTGCGAACCGCTGTCTGGCATGTTCTGCACCGCCTCTAGGACGGCTTGTTGCAGGCTAGTCAGCTGTTCGCTGGTGAAGACTGCGCTGGGGTAATCAGGGGGGATTAGTCCCACCCTACTCGCCCCAGCAACAGCCTTGTAGCTTGGAGTACCAGCCCTGGCTGCTTGCCTGTTCTGGGGTGCTGGTGTCGGATCGCAGGCGTTTTCCTGCAGCTCCGGAGTTGGATTCATCCTCCTCTGGCTGCTGGATTTTAGTCACCTGCTTTCCTATTACCTCTTTCAGAGCGGTATCGTGAGAGATCCCGCTCTTGACGACTCAGGTTCCTTTTTTGACCCCCGATAGTCTTAGTCTTTTTCTTTTTGTTTCGGTGCTTACTGACTCCCCTGCCACCCATCCTTCGACACGACAGCTTCCTTCTTGGATTGGCCCCGTGTCCCTCTTAGTTAGGATCCCCAACTCTATAAAACCAAGGCACATGTCCTTGATCAGTGAGCATCAACAGTGGTGGGCTCCCTTGAGCCCCCCCATTACACCAAAATGGGGACACGCCGAGGGGTCACTTGGTATTGCATAAATCGGTACAATTATTAAAAAAACCAATGAAAATAACCATAACCAATGGTGTGACTGTAGTGTGCAAAATTTTGTACGGCAAAATCGAAAGATCAAACTGGTATACTGCAGGGTCTGCAGGCAATATAGGTATCTCCGAACGATAAATTTTTATTTTTCAAGCTAAATTTGT